TTGTCAATTTATGTTCTCTTGATGTTGAAAAGTCTTGTAACAAGGCACTTGTTTCAATTCAGCAACTTGCTTATATACTACGACATGCAAAGCAGAAGGAGAATAAGGTATGGAATCTGTCAAAGGAATGGAATCTTGAATTCCAATTCAGGAATGTTTAGACTTTAGAATTCTTGTTTTTTGGTTCAAGTATTTCTTTTTTTCACTTATAATTGATTGACCTGTTGTTCACAGGAAGTTTTTGGCTTACTTGTGTGGGACCTTATCTTCATCGTGATATATTGCTTGTACAAAAGGTTTTGGTTTTTTATATTTTCAAGATATTCCAACATTGGTATAAGATTATCCAAATGAGGCTGAAGCATCTGTTGTTGTATGGTGATTAGATATGCCGAGTGTTGAAAGGTTATTATCTTTGTGCATTGAAGAGTGTGAATTCTGGTGATTTGGAAGGCGGCGTTTGTGGAAATCGAACTCCCCGCCTCCACCTAAAAGAAGCGAGATTGAACCTTGAGGAAGCACTTGGTGCATGTCTACTTCCTTCACTACAGTTAATACCAGCAAATCCTGCTGTTGGACAGGAGAAATGGGCTGTACTGAGTCTCCTACCATATGAGGTTGGCATTATTATTATTATTATTATTATTATTATTGTATTCAATTTCAAGCAGTAAAATATTTAAGAAGAATCTTACATCTGATGTGATTGATGTTAGGCAAGATATCGTTTATATGGTTAATGGAAAAAGGATGATGAGGCCAGCCCCATGGTTCTCTCTGCTAAACAGACAACAAAGGTAAAGATTCTACATTATTAAACTTGATTCATTACCCCTTCTTCTTTTGATCATTCTAGATTAATCTGCAAATACAATTGGACACTAGACGGATCTTGAAACGGCTTGCAAAGGAAAAACTAAAAGAGCTTGGAAGAATGGTGGCAAAATTAGCTCATGCGAATCCCATGAGTGTACTTAGAACAATTGTGCACCAAGTACCCACCCATTGCATTCATGAGGTTTACTCTCTGTTTATGTGTTGTACTTGTAGAAGATAATATTATCGTTGTTACTCTAACTTACAGATAGAGGCATACAGGGATATGATTGCTCCAGTTGTAGATGCATTCAAATATTTGACACATGTCTGTGTATAATTGATTCTCTTCTCTGTCTCTTGTGTGCTTTGCATAAATGTTGTCTCATGAGGAAAGTAGGATTATTTACCTCCATTTTGTTTTCTACAAGTAGCTATAACTTATAATAGGTGCATGGTTTCCAATCCAAAACAACTAACACTGGTGTCTAGTATGTAATTTTAGTGGATTATTATAGTAGCTTTGGGTCCCATTGTGTATATTTTGAAAAACATTATTCAATGGTAATTAATACCTACCTATTAGTAAGGATTTTCTTGCATGGTCACCATAGTGTATTTATTATAGGTAGCTGCCTAAAACAGGCTATTTCTGGCAATTTGTAACAGGATGATTTCCTAGTTGATCAGTAGATTGAAATGTGTGAATGCTTTATGTATTTTGCTTACTGGTATTCGGTATCAAAATCTTCCCGTTGAAGCATATCATGTTCTGGTGGAGATAATTGTTTGATTTTACAGTAGCATAGTACATACGATATTTGTGCATGCCACCAGATTCCATGTGGTGGTGGTGGTGGTGATTTTGTTATGTTGATGCCTCGGATGGATGTTTAAGATTCTCTTATCGCATGAGTATGATATTTTGGAATTGAATTGAATTGTGGTGGTTTTCTCTACAGCTTGAGTATGATATTTTGGAATATGTTGTGATCGAACGGCTTGTACAAGGGGGTCGTGAAAAGCTAAAAGATGACGGCCTAAACGTATCACACTGGCTTCAGTCTTTGGCATCATTTTGGGGTCATTTGTAAGTAATCTTTTCTCCTTTCTACTTCATCTTGCTGCCTCTTTTTTTTAATCTATGCTACTAGACCTTTATGTGCTGCTGCTAATCATGCATGACCTTGTGCCTTCCATGTTATACTGGTATATATTAATTTACTTTTCTAGGCCGCTGAAGTTTATGATATTTAGACCTAAACTCATTATTGTTGAGAGTGTGGGCTTGCAATGAAACATTTAGGTGCTCTTTTGCTAGAGCTTGGTCCTACAATGCTCACATTATTCTCATATGTATCTTTTTAATAGGAATAGGTCCAAGGGCAACTAATGTTGAATCATCAAATCAAGCAAATGTTGATCTTCTAATGTTGTTCTTTTACAGGTGGTTGGAATTGGACCTAAAGTTGGTTGCTGATATAGGAATAGTGGGTGCTCCAAATGCAGGAAAAAGCATGTTTTTTAGTGTTATTAGTGTTCACATGTAGTGTTGTTTGACATGTAATGTTAGATAACTTGTTTGACATGTGATATTTTTTTGAAATGAATTATTGTTCTTATGTATGGTATTTTATTTTGTATTATGATAATTTCAATATGTTGTTTAATTTGAAAATTAGTAATTCTATCAAAAATATATATATTTTTAAAACATTTAAAATTATGAAACGCAAATACGTGTCATCTTCGTTGATGACAGGGGCTTTAATGATACGCAATGTGTGTCCTAAACGCGCATCGTAAGGTTACGACACGCAAATGTGTGTCGTCTTCCGTTATGACATGGCCTTCCTTGATACACATTGCGTGTCGTAACTGTGCGTCGTAAATGCGTGTCGTAAATGCGCGTCGTAAATAGACGACACGCAAAAGCGTGGTGTCTCTCGTTATGACAGGGCCTTCCTTGACATGCATTTGCGCGTCGTCTGAGCATTTTACGACACGCATTGCGCGTCGTAAAAGGCTGTTTTTCTAGTAGTGAATCAAATCATACACAACAATGTGTTTTATAACATCAAGTTACTGATGCGTTTACGCATTCTCAATGCACAACTAATTAGCAAACAATAAACCATATATCTAGGTTTTAAGACCATATGATATTATCGTCTTGCGA